ATTTCATTATTTTTTTATCAATTACATTTTTTATTTATCTTATTTACTTTTTTATAATTTTTTATCTTATTATTGTTTATTTTTTATAATTATTTTCTTATTTTTTAATAATTTGTTTATTTTTTTACTTTTTAATTACCTTTTTATTTAATTATTTCATATTATTTTTTTTTATTTACATTTTTTATCAATGTAATTCATTTTTTCACCTAACTTTATTGCTATCACACAGGAGAAAACAATCCCCTGTGTAATAGTACTGTGCTGGAACTCCTGTGACAGGCGAGAGAGGAAGAGCACAGCTCTCCCCTCTCACTGTCTGCACGCAGCGGCAGGGTTACTTATAACTCTGCCGCTCTGCTCACTGCATTCAGAGACTCGGGACTCGGCGGCGGAGGACGGAACCAAAGGAGAGAGGTAAGTGGCGGGGGGAGAAGGCTGCACACTGTTTATATGTGAAATCGGAGACATCACCGATTTCACATGTAAACGAAAAATCGTCTGCCTCACTCTACATTCAGTCCTACTTGTACAATGCAGGAGTGAATGTAGAGAGGGCAACTTCCCCACAAGGACACCGCTGCCGCCCCTCTGCGCCCTGCCGCCCCGAGGCCCGGAGGAATCCGGGCCTGATTGCAGACAGTCCACAGGGGGAGATTACTACTGCTTTTCTTTACATGCTGGGCTTCTTTTTTAATAAATGTGGCGTTGCTTTAACAGTTTCGAAACACAACGGGAAGCTAGTGAGTTGCACACAGACCATGGACCACTGTGTGGCCTTCATTACACTCAGAATTGTACCAGAGACAGAATTGCAATCTTGGGGTCTCTGACTATTCGTAGAGGTGTGCAGGGAACAGAGGTGGGTTACTCGGCAGAGGGCACAATACCGGGAAGTCGTTAATCACTTGGATGGACCAGCGCCGGCGTGCAGACAGCGGGGTTGTCTGCGCAATCAGAAGATGAGGAAAGGAAGCAAAGTGAGAAGGAGATACAGGAGAGAGAGAGAGAGAGAGAGAGAAAAAAAAGAGAAAAAAGGGGACAAAAAGAAAAAAAAAAAAGCATCAAGAATATGGCTAGAAATTGTCTGCTTGGCCATTGATGCTCAGTTTAAACTCTCCCCTCCAATAGTAACAAATAGTGCCAAATTCTTCTCGCGACACGTTTGCTGTGGCTACGTTTCAAGGAAGTGAACACAATCACGCTGGGAAATTATCTAGACATAATAATTATTTACTGGTAAAACTGTAAAAACTTGTCTTTTATATATTTTGTAAGTCCAATAAGAAAGGTATCATTGCACACTGGAATACTGCGTTTATATATATATATAAATGGAAAGGATTTGAAGAAACTTTATTTCACTTTCCTATCTATTTTTGTTCTAGAGATGACAAAACAACTTTTTTTCGGTTGTTGAAGCTTCTGGAGGGAGGATGAAAACAGTGCAGAGATTGTGAGTCTCTGTAGCCAAACACCACATGCCTGTTTTCTCACCGATTGCTCATCTGCCTCGAGACTCCAGGAAGATTTGCAATGCACTGATAAGTACATTTTTTATGATATGAGGTTATTCAACCGGCATTAAATATGACTTAAAGGAGCACAGACATATGCCAGGAAAGTTATGTTGCCATATGTGGTATTTTACTCATGCGTCTGCTGGGGTTTTGTGCTTTTTGCCTATAATGTGGAGTTGAAAACTCTAAATCTTGAATAGTTTCATAATATAAACATTTCAGTCAATGTGAAGTACACAATCATCATGCGCTGCCAATCTGCACAAGGGAGGTGCCGAGTAAGGAATACATTATTTCAGGTCATGTGATCATTCAATAAAAACAAGTAGCTGGAGGCACTGCATTGGTTTGTGACATGTTGTGAGTGAAGGGCAGGGCACAGCACCCACTTTGACTATAGTTAAAGCTTGTGTTTAGTCTGCTTTGTCAACAAGTAAAAGGTATTGGAAAGCCCTTCTTCATTCCTTTACCTCGAGAAATACATTTGTTTAAAGGGAAGCACCAAAACCGTTTTTTCGGTATCGAGTACAGATAATTTGCTGTCGGTACTCGCCTATACCGAGTATTGATACCGGTGCTTCGGCTGGCATGGAGCCGGCTTATCGGGCAATCAGGAAGCCAAGCGGCGGGTAATGACTTGCCACCCGGCTTCCTGATTGCCCGGGAAGCTGGCTCCATGTTGTTGGCCGGCTTGATTGTGATTGGCCAGGAAACCGGCTTCTCAGCCAATCAGCCAGCTTCCCGACCAGTCAGGAAGCCGGGCGGCAAGTAATGACCCTCCCCCCGGCTTCCTGAATGGCCAGGAAGCCGGCTGCTTGCTGATTGGCGAGGAAGCCAGCTTCCCAGCCAATCAGGATCGATCTAGCTGTTCGGCCGTCTAGATGATGATTGGCCGGGAACCCGTCTTCCCGATCAATCAGCAAGGAGTCGACTGTTCGGCCGATCTGGACATGGAGGAGGCCGGGTCCCAGCATTGCCTGTGAGGTGGAGTGCCTGCAGAGCCACTGCAGATGTCCAAGTCGCCCGGGTGTGATTGGCACACAGCCTGGTGAGAGGAATTCTGCTTTGGGGACATGTGTTCTGCTGTGGGGACATGTGTTCTGCTGTGGGGACATGTGTTCTGCTGTGGGGACATGTGTTCTGCTGTGGGGACATGTGTTCTGCTGTGGGGACATGCGTCCTGCTGTGGGGACATGCGTCCTGCTGTGGGGACATGCATCCTGCTGTGGGGACATGCATCCTGCTGTGGGGACATGCATCCTGCTGTGGGGACATGCATCCTGCTGTGGGGACATGGGTTCAATTCTGTTGACATCTGTATTCTGCCCTGGTGAGAAACTGCCCTCAAATCATCAGTCTGTTTTGTTTTAGAAAAAATGTCACCTGTCCCTTTAAGAAAAAGTATCTGTATTTGGTATTGGCAAGTACCAGAGGGACAGTACTTGTACTTGGTCTTAAAAAAGTGGTATCGGGACATCCCCAATACATTCCATTTTATATTTTTCAATGTGTCCTTTTCAGGTAGGTCAGCACATAGAAAAATATTCAATGCCTCTGTCCAAAGTGCAGTTTGTTTTAATCCCTGGAAGGTCGATGACAGAAAATAAAGCTGGCACGTAGAAAGTTTACAGCCCGTGTATAATGTACTTTGTCCGGCAGTAACTGTGAGTGCATAGAGAGGACGGGATGTGAGGCTTACCCTCTCCTTGTAATAAAATGAACTGATGGACACTTGTTCCTTCTCACTGCGGGTGGGACTGCCTCCGTACAACAGTAAGTTCCCAGGAGCCTCAGTGCGGATTTTCATCGGTGCGATCACGCCGCTGTGATAGGCGGACAGAGCGGAGAGGGATCTGACAAAGAATGAGGGAGAATACCGAATAAAATTAAATATATTCACCGTGTACACAGAATGCATAAACATATCATACAGGAAAAATATCCAACATGTTTACAGGTTAGATATACAGATCATACAGAAGATACAAGTATGTGATCATTCACATGTACCACAGGGCCAATACACCTAAAGCACAAAAACTTATAGCGGACCCAGCATCAGATATATTTTTTTTCATGTTAAGAGCACAGATGTTAAGAGGGCAGGGCTAGTCTTTTTTGTTGCCATCCTCCTAGCTGTGAGCCATACACCCCAGAGGTCTCCTCTCTCCTGTGTCCTTCAAAAAAAACCAAGGGATATCAGGAGAGAAAAAAAAGGATTATTAATAATTAGGGCTGGTAATGGATTCAAATTTTCGTGTTCGATTAATCGAAAAAAATTGTAATCGATTCATTTCGATTAATTATAACGCACATACAGATCCAACTACAGTGGCCTATACACATATAGCACAGCAATGAAGTAATAAAATGAACTAGGATCACACTAATGCAGCACGTTATTAATCTCACGTGCCCCAATCAATATGGCCGCCGCTTGAGTGGGGCAACTCAGAATAATAACGTGCTGGATTAGTGTGATCCTAGTTCATTTTATTACTTCATTGCTGTATGTGTATAGGCCAATGCCTTGGCTGGCGCTCGTGCAGAAAGTTTCTTGGGCAAACTCACCGGCCCAAGTGGCTCCGTCGGCTAACGAAGGGGGGAGGAGTCAGGTGACGTCACGGACATCGACGTCACCGGACTCCTCCCCCCTTCCCTTCGTTAGCCGACGGAGCCACTTGGGGAAGAAGGGGGGGGAGTCCGGTGACGGATCGCCGATGGGACTTCCGGAAGCCGGCGGAGAGGTGTGCGTTTTCATTAGCGATCAAAATAATTTTAATCGATCAAAAAGTTTAACGAATAATCGACAAAATTCATCTTTAGGTTCCATAGCCCTATTAATAATCAGATTATTCTTCTGTTTGTTACAGTGAGACAGTAAAATGTTTAATTACTCTATAATGATAGAAACACCTAATTGCTGTTGTACTCCGACAATTACTCAGAAGGAAATAAGTGTCGTAATTGCTATAATAATAGGTCTGGTAGAACAAGATTGGAAGAAGGGGAAGGGGAGAGACTTGGCAGAGGGGAAAACTCATACCTGCACAGTCCACGGTATAGATACAGGTCTTTGATGTCCCAAAAGAGATGTTGGCTGTCTGTCAAAGTGATGATGTAGATCTACAAGTACTAGCAGGACTGACGAGCGCTCGTAGTCCTGCAACGAGCTCTAGTCGTTGAAGCCAATTCATAAATAGAAGACACCAGCATTTAAGCCAGGCATGCATTCATTAAAAGACCCGGTGTAAGTATCCGAATTTCTTTCACTGAGGAACACAGGAAGTCTGTATTCAGGTTATACTGCCAAATTCAGGAGAATAGGACACTGGCAAAGAACACAGCCCAGGATAACTACTACTACTACCACCATCATGCCTAGTTAATCACTAGTGTTCTAGATGCGTTGGACATCTTTTCTGCAGATCTGTTGTGTTAAAGACTTCTTTTTTTCTTCAATCAAGACTCTTCTCTATATTGCTGCTGGAGATTAGTCTCTTTGATTGCAGCTCCCTGGCATGTCATTCACAATCTTTTATAGTAGCGTCTCCGGACCCGGCTGGAGTGGATGTTGCGAAGATAATCTCAAAATGAGCTTTGTGCAATGGGTTCTGATCCGAGATTCAGTTGGAGAATGGTATGTCAGTGGCTTACATTGGTAATCAGGGAGGAACCAGAAGTCTCGCCATGGCAATAGAGGTAGATCGGACCCTGTCCTTGGCATGTTCCAGCCCTGTCCGCCATGTACATGCCAGGCTTAGACAACCAGCAACACCTGGAGTTACACCCAGAGGTATTCCAGGACCTGTTTCTCAAGTAGGGGCCATTGGATGTGGGCCTCCAGGTTCAACAACAAACTAGAAAGGTTTGTCTGTAGGTACAGGGATCCAGCAGAGGATGTTCTGGGGGCTCTACGGGATCAGTACACCCTGATCTATGCCTTTCCTTCTCAGAAAATTCTTTGTCTACTTTGCAGGATTAAGATGAAGGGCGTTCCAGCTATCCCAATTGCTCTAGAATGGCCCAAGCGGATGTGGTACGCTGATCTGGTAAGACTACTGGCAGCCGCGTTGTGAACTCTGCCGGATCATCAGAATATTCTGTCCCAAGGACCGCTTTGCTATCCCGCTTTATAGTCACTAGCTTTAATGACATGGCTGTTGAAGCCCAGCTTCTGAGGTACACAGGCATCTCCGAGTATGTGATTTGTATAATGTTAAAAGCTAGGAAGTCTACTTCCGGCATGGAAGATATACTTCAGTTGGAATCTAGGGGCTTTCACCCCAGGCGTTTCTCCATGGGAAGAATCCTCTCCTTCCTGCAGCTGGATGTAGACCAATGTTTGGCTCTCAAGGGTCAGATTTCTGCTTAGGAGGCCTTTCATTTCTTACTATTTGATTAAGACCTTTCTACAAGGGATCTCCCATTCAGCTTCCCCCATTCATTCCCCCGTGACTCCACTGTCTGGATGTGGCTCATGCTGTAAGAGTCTCTCTCTCAGCTACCGGTTCTTTCTGGAAGACGGATTTCCTTTTTCTAATCCCAACTGGTCCCTGTAAATGTACACTTGGTTCTCGTTCCACCATTTCTAGGTGGCTCAGGCAGACCATCATTCACGCTTACGGTCTCAAGGATGGGGTTCTAGTCTTTCGTGTCAAGGTGCTTTTCGTCATTCAGCAACTGTTTCCCAAATTTGAAAGTCTGCCCTCTGGTCTTCTGTTCGCACGTTCTCTAAGTTCTACCAGGTGGACATTGTGGCTTCATCTGATGCCAGCTTCAGAACCCCAAGAAAATGATTTTTCGGAGAGTACCAAAAATCCTATTATGTCTAGTCTCATGTGATCCTCTTCAAATCAGATAGGAAGGGAAGTAATATATGCCAATAAGGGTATAATGCTTAGTGCAACCAGTTTAACACTGCTGACAGATGGAGACCGCACAGTAATTACCTCATCAGTGTAGGGACACTATATCAGTGTTCAATCAGCAGGTGGGGAGGATAGCGACCAAATTGTACTGCTTAACTGCAGTGGAGAAACCTCACCAACATGACAGCACTGTCTAGTAGGAGTAACTGGGTCATAGGACTGGCTTAAATAACAAATCTTTTGGCACTTACTTGTCTGTATGGAACCTCCTTTGCAGATATACCACTTCAGCAAAACCTACACACACCCCTAGCTTACTGAGTGAACAATGAAGTCTAAGCAGCACATCAATAAGATCATCCTTATACTCATTCTGCTTGATTCACCAGTCAGCCCGCACACGTACACTGCTGCAGAACATGATAGGCTGCTAGTGTTGTAATACAGGTGGTTGCAAGAGGCTGATCTAAAAGACGTTTCAGGTACCAACTGGACAGATATGAAGGAGATTTTGCTTGTTTATTGAATACAGAACTGTATTCAACAGTGTGGTATTATAACTGCCTAGAATTCAGCTTCAACAGCCAGCAAGCAACAGACAATACATGTATGGTCAGAGAATTAGGATATTCCTGACACAATCACAAAGTGACAGAATCTCCCAATCAGAAATAAATCCTTAAAGGAGAACTATGAGGTGAGTGCTTTTCACTCACCTCGTAGTTCTAGCCGACCTGTGACAATGAGACTGTCACAGGTCGGCTCAGTAGATCGGGAGGTGAGGGAACACATGCCGGTGTTCGGTCACTTCTCGATCCTGTAACGGCTCTCTGCCGTGACAGGGGAGGGGATGGATTCCGCCCTCCCCGCTCCGATCCGCCAGCGCTGACTGGCGGATCAGACGGGGGAGGGGGCAGGTACAGTTGGCTCTGCCTCTAGATAGGCAGAGCCAGCTGTCACTCACGCAGCTGGGCGGATCTCGACATCGATGTCGGGATCCGCTCCGGCTGCGGCGTCTCAGTATACCACGAGCTGTAGCTCGCGGTATACTGAGCCTAGGGTGACGGGAGGCCGCTAGTTTGTGTCCTCCCGTTACCCTGAGAACTATGGGAAAAACCCTGACCCCATAGTTCTCCTTTAACTAAACAAGCCTCCTGATATAAAATGTGTCAATTAAACAGCTTCAGTGAATCAGGCTTAGTTATTTTTATTGCAGATATATGACTCCAGTGACACCTGGTGGTCAACGGCGTTATAACAGCAGCATGCTTTGAATGAGCATGGCCCAAATTTACCCCCAAACCTCCGTCACCATCTCTAGAGCATATCCAGCATTTTTTTTATTACTCCCCGTGACCAGCAGGCTTGTAATATTCCTACAGGGGCAGCTACTGGAAGGTCAACTCCTATTAACAAAGGCACGACCCTTAGAACTCCATTTCTCTAAAGGTTCTTTCCCAACACACAAGGTTGTGTGGGCAAGGTTTTAGGGTTAAGGCAGCGTCACGGTTTTGTCAGGAAAGTAATGCATGTATGTGGAGAGGGACACAAAGTCTATGCAACAGTTTTCTGCGTATTTGTGACTCCTATGCCTGGAATCTTGGGCCATCAATCGTGACACAGCCAACTGCAACAGATTTGCACAGTTCTATGACAGATTTATCTCCATAAATGAGACAGATTTTCACTCTGAAAACAGAGGGCAAAGGACTAGCCACCAGTATTGCCTTTGGGCTCCCCTGCAGCAGATCTTTCCCCCATTATTGCCTTACCCTCATGCCTTGTCCTACACTGTCTATGTTTGGAAGTAGCCATATTGGTAGAGGCAAGGCTTTTCTTACTCTCCTTTCAAGCAAGCAGAGCAGTAAGCAGCACTGTAGTGAGCGAATCTCCTGATACTAGCAGTCAGAGGCAGCAGTGCCTTAGATGTCACCCTGCAAATATACAGCTATTGGGCTCTAGGCAAAGGAGCACCTACGCACATTTACGTACCAGGAGGTCCACTGCTATTTTTCAAGGAGAATTCAAGACAAAATGGTACGTTGGTACACTTAATATTTCTAGATGTTCCCTATAACATGGCAAATCTTTCATTTTTTTTAGTTCCACTTTAAAGTAGAACTGAAACCATAACTTTTTTTTTTTTAGTCTTGGGTAGAGTAAGGGAGGGTTGTATCCCCGTCACCATTTTTTGCCATCTTTGCTCCATTGGGGAGATTTCCCTTCACTTCCTGTCTAAAAGCACAATAAGTAAGAGAAAATCCCTCCAGAGTGAAATCCTCGCTGGCCAGGAGGGTCACCAGAACTAGTGTCCTCATTGGAGGATTTTCCATCTATTCCTGTTCCGATGACAACCCAAAATGTGGGATTTTCTTTCATTTTCAGTGAGAACGGTTACCAGCGCAAATAGAGCGGGTGAATCTCCCTAACAGGGGCAATAAAAACCTGATAGAGAATCTAATCTCCGCTGTATCCAAAACTTTAAGAAAATGCACCAAAAAACAAACAGAGCAAACAAACAAAATATATAACTAAACCAACCTTGGAGTGGGCTCTGTAGGAGATACTGTTCTGTGCATAGTCATCGGCCGTGTGAAGTACACCAGGTAACCTGCCGAGGTAAAAGGGAGCTTGATATAAACCACCCGGGATTACTGGACCACGCTCTGACCTTGATGCTAGAATAGAGCTACAGCAATGGTGACATATTGCACTGACCTGCTCCACAGAAGCGGGCACCTGATGTTCGAGGAAACGGGATGTTAGCGTCCTGGTAGGAACCATAGGCGTTGGTCACCCGGGCGAACGTTGGCAGTGGTGGAGTGACGGGGTTCTGCAAGGAGAAGGGGTTGTCCGAAGGACTGGATTCCTGGTCCTGTAAGATTACAGACACTGTAAAGATGAACGCATTTAAGGCCTACCTAAAGTGAAAAAAACAGTTAAATATGTTTGGGCAAAATATTAAAAAAACTAAAACATTCAAAACATCTCTCCAGTACATACTCATTTCCCCAGATTTAACCACTTTATAAATGCTACAAGCTCAGGAAAATACCTATAGAGCCTGCCAGAAATCCAGTAAGTTTGTAACTTCTTATGCACTCCGCCTCTGCTAATCTAATCCCATATCAGTCTTATTAGCCCTGCCCATTTCACCTGACTACAGAACAACTCTCCCCTATGTTATGGGGGGGGGGGGGGGGGTTTTTTAGGATATATAAGTTGTTTTTTTGGGGGGGGGTGTTCTGTAGAGTAAATCAGGAGTGAGCAGCCTAGGGTTTCAAGGCTGCTCCTCCATAGATAGAAGAGTATGGAAAGGAAGCCGGAGTCAATGAGCAGCCATACCACCAACATAATTACTGTTACTTTCATGGAATCAGATCTGTTGATGAAAGAATGTTTAGTGGTTGATAAGGGCTATTGTACCTTGAACTGATTTATGTTAGTGCAATTTGATCTGACTAATTAAAGTGTAGGTAAACCCCAACAATCAGCTTCTCTTTTATCTACAATACGCTATTGTTAGTGCTTTGTAATTTGGTTGATAAAAGCCCAAAAAAAACAAAACCCTGTCAATCCTTCCGTAAATCTTTTGAGACGATAAACTTCTGTGTTATCTGCCCTGCTGTTATTTAGTTATTTACAGCTCTCTCTGCGAACACCTCCTCTTATGTTATAGAGGGGGGTTAAAGGTGTTGTAGTCCTGTTCTAGGGTGACAACTGTGCTCCTGCATAGATAAAGGACAGTGAGTGAAGGTTGTCACTCTGGAACAGGAAAGGAGTTACTGGTAGGTTCACAATGTGAAAGAAAAAAAACCTTCTGAAGTTAAATTCATATGATATCTCAGATTCTTTGCAGGCCTTCAGACCTTTATGTATGCCAAACCTGGAAAAATGTGTGCAAGCATGTTGGTCAGAGCAAGAAAGAGCCCTTACAGCAGTGGTTCTCAACCTGTGGGTCGCGACCCAAAAGTGGGTCGCAACCCACAGTTGAGGGGGTCCCCATGTGCCTTGTGCTGCTCTAGGTAAGAGGCCCACACAGATACTAGCATTGGTGCATCACTAAATTTTACGGTTGGGGTCACCACAGCTTGGCAAATTATACCAAGGGGTCCCGGCCCTAGAAAGGTTGAGAACCACTGCCTTACAGGGTGACAAGTACATACTGTTCTAATCTGGGACTAAGCATCAACTGGGCAGGTCAAGTCATTTTTTTATTTTATTTTTACTTTAGGTCCCTTTTAATTAAGCCCAGTAACTGGGCCGTCTGAGATAACAAGGGTCACTATTAAAAGTCTATGAAAAAACTCAAAATTCCTCAATACATGTAAAATGAAAACCTTTTGATTTTGGATGTAGATGCTTAAAGCAACCCTGCCATGTATGCAAAAATCAGAGACATGCAAACCCTGCAAAAGAAGAGCATTCATACTTGCCATTTACTCTGCGGAATAATCCACCAAAATCTGCTGAGACACTTCTGGGAATGCAGATCTCCTTGGTCATTACAGCTCTCAATGGTTCCTCCTGTTGACCTCAACATCAATACTGTACCCTGTAGTGTCTGGAGGTCAACAGGAGGATGCAGAGGAAGCAGGAGATCTACCTTCACAAAGTGTCGATTTCCCGGCAGACTTCAGAGGATCATTTCTACAAATAGATTTTACATAGAGGACAGGTTCACTTTAAAAACAAAACAAAAAAAAACACATGAAGTTTTAGAGCTCTAAATAATGCTGTCACCATCCTGGCTATACAGAGCAGCAGGGATGAATGCATGAGAAGACGGGCCCGAACAAAGTTACAAAACATCTCAGCTGGTGAAAACGTTTGCATATATTTATATAAACTGTGTATATAGTTGTCTGGCTGAAATTCAGTTTTCTTTAAGGCGGATGATCTAATATTCCCTACCCATAAGCACCCCCTCTGCTCACCACAAAGCTCTCCATACAGGACACCAGCTGACGCAGACAGGGCTCCAGGCAGCTTTGGTTGCGTTTAACCTTCTGCAGAGATGTATCCTTCAGGATCTAGAAGACAGAAGGTTAGACTGTCCATATAAAAGTCCATGGAAAAGACTTTTCAGACTGAACGTACAGGGAATACAGAACATATCACACCAACGAACATAGCCAATCCCCGCAGCTTGAAGTCCTTGTCATCTATCCACAGGAGCAGAGCAGAATATTATTTTAAAGTGGACTTTCCACTAAATTTACAACTCCGGCTCGATTCTTTCCTCCCCCTCTCTCTCTCTTACATAATCACTTATATATTTTTTTTCTCCTTTTGTAAGAACCTTTTTTTTATAATTCATCATTCAACTTCCTTGCTCCTCGCCTAAGTGAAGGTGATGTAGACATTCTTCCCCTCTACCCCTTAGGCTACATGTCATGGATGCCAGCAGGCTGCAGGTGCAACATTTTTATCAGATCTACCAACACCATGCCAAAATGTAATGTCAAAGACATGGTATCAGGTCTCGTGCGTGCTCAGAGAGAGAGCTGACCCCATGACTTTCAAATTACATTGCAATAGTGTCAGGAGATCTTGCAAGAGTTTAGCACCTACAACCTTATGCATCACAGGAGCCTGGAGATGGGGATCTCCAAATGCTATGGCAACATATACACTGAGTGGCCAGATTATTATGACCACCTGACGTTTGTAGGCAAATTAGCTATAATTTGGCGCTGAAGTTGCTAGAGGGCCAGACCATTATAAATAGGGAAGCAGGTTGGTTACCACGACAGTAGAAGTGATTCTGAAGATAAGGGGAAACAACGCGATTTAACAGCCTTTGAGCGTGGGATGATTGTTGGCACTCAGAGCCATGGAGCGAGTATCAGCAAAACAGCAGAATTCGTTAAATGTTCAAGAGCAGCTGTTGTTAAAGTGTTTAAAGACTGGACTGTCAGCCGAAAATCTGGGTCTGAACGTGCGAATTGTGGCCGTCAGCAACTAGTCAATGTTAGGGCAGAACGGAGAGTGGCAAGACTGATACAAGACAACAGAAGGGCAACAGTGCCGTGTCAGATTCCTCGCATCACCTTTCATCATCTCGTGGAGTCACGAGGCGGCCCAACGAAGTCATCTCGTGGAGTCATCTCGTGGCCCAATAAAGTACTAATGGGGTGGTCATAATAATGTGGCCACTCAGTGTATAGCATCTTTGGCATGACATGCTGCCATAGTGTCAGAAGATCTTGCGAGAATTCAGCACCTATGGCATGAAATGCATCTCAGGGGGCTGAGTGTATACAGCTACCGACCATATGGCAACACGCAATATCAAAGACATGGTGGCAGATCTCCATCTACGTGAGATTTGGCATGGCATCACCAGGGGGTTCGCTGCAACAATCAGGAAGAGAAAGTTGGCTCCTGAAGAAGAACAAAATAAAATAGGAAGCACTAGATGGGGAAGAGTGGAAGAGCAGGAAGGGAAAAAAGGACAATGTAGGATTTACTGGATAAAAGAGCATTAAAGGTAACAGGCATAAGGGCAATAGAATTCATGGGGGAAGGTTCGCATTAAGATTAAATCTACTTTGTATCAGAAAGAGTTAGAACTAATGTGTAATAGCAGTTGGACAGGCCCGTAAGTGAATACATAGGCCTGTGGCTGTTTTGCAGTGCTGAATGGTTCCTCTGTTGACCTTCACATCACTACTATCCTGTAATAAAGAGTCAGAGGGAGGAAACACTCAACGCTGCAGGGGACACGTGTGATCGACACTCCCAGAAATGTCGGTCTCAAAAGACACTTCACCCAGGAAATTGGTGTTCAGCAACATGGACAGCAGGAGAGCAAAGTATGTTTATGCTTTTTGAAAGTGTGCTATCTTTGTATAAGTGACAGTCACTTAAAAAAATTCCCCATATCTGTTTTCTTACTTTCAGCAGCTTCACTTTCATGGCGGATGTGATGGTGGTGGGAGGGACAAACTGGAAGGAAGGAGCAGCATTGTTGGGATACTGAACCGGGAACTTGACCATCATCCGCACCCGGTGATTGCTGCAGCGAACGGAGACAGTACAGGATCGATGCATGGCATCCATCTGCGGAAACGACACGGTAATGAGAAACATGATCACGGTGATGAAATATTGGCCTACTCCTGAACAATATGTCATAAGGATTGCGGGACTTATTTTTAGATGCCAATTATCTGTGCATATTTTTATTATTATTATTATACAGGATTTATATAGCGCCAACAGTTTGCACAGCGCTTTAGAATATAGGGAAGACATTACAATTACAATACAATTCAAGACAAGATGGTAAGGATAGGTGGACATACTAAGCAGTTTTTGGGGTAAAACAGTAAAGTATGTAATGCCTAAGGGCAAATGTAAGAAAATATTTACTGCAGTATAAACGTCACCCAGGCTGTGGCTCCCCATCTACCCACCTCTGCCTGACTGTAGCATGCAGCTCAGATCAGGGCCAGGCCAAGGCAGACCAGTCTGTGTTATTCCAAGACAATGATCACCAGGTTGTGGCTCCCTATCTCCCAACCTCTGCTTGCCTGTACCATGCAGTTCAGATCAGGGTCAGGCCAAGGCAGACCAGTCTGTGTTATTCCAAGACAATGATCACCAGGTTGTGGCTCCCTATCTCCCAACCTCTGCTTGCCTGTACCATGCAGCTCAGATCAGGGTAAGGCCAAGGCAGACCAGTCTTGTGTTATTCCAAGACAATGATCACCAGGTTGTGGCTCCCTATCTCCCAACCTCTGCTTGCCTGTACCATGCAGTCTTGTCCATCCCCCACCCATGACTGGACAGAGAAAGGAGAAGCAGCAAACTGATGAACTCATCACTCTGTTCTATCCTCCTATTAACATGTTTTATGTACTACAGAAAAACTGACTTGGTCCTATGCTGCTTTTCCCTCCCCCAGTCTGAACTCTGCTGTACAGGGATTGCAAGAGGCTGATTTCAAGTCAGATTCATTTACTTACACTTCTTGCTTTAATGAAGCATTAATGAATGCTGAGCTGTATTAATTTGTGCCTTTTATATCTGCATATAGATTAGCTTTAAAGGAGAACTACGAGGTGAGTGATTTCCATTCATCGTCATAGAGCCGACTTGTGGCAAAGAAGCTGATCTGGATCGTGAGCAGAAACATGCCGCCTATCTGCTCACTTCCCGATCATCTCCCTGCAGAGAGCGGTGACTGTCAGTCACCATTCTCCGGAGGGATTCCCCCCCTCCCCTCTCCAATCCTCCAGCGTTGAGTGGAGGCATGAACGAGGGAGGTGGCGGGCACAGCTGGCTCTGCCTCTAGATAGGCAGAGCCCACTGTCACACGCAGCTGGGTGGATCTCGACAGTATTGTCGGGATCCGTCCCGGCTGCGCCGCTCTCGGTATATTGTGGGCTATACTGAGCTTTGGGTCACGGGAGGAGGTTAGTATATGTCCTCCTGTTACCCTAAAGTGAACTATGGGGGAAAACACTTACCCGTAGTTCTCTTTTAAGTGCCAAATAAGAAAATATGCATGAAGATAAGACTAGAGGAAGCATGCAAAATGCAAATTGTGAATGAAGAACTCCAGGGACATGGTACAGAGGACTCCACTCACCTCGATGTTGACGTTGCGGATATGTACATTGATCAGGGAAAATTCCTGCTGAAGGGTCTGGGGGAGGCTGGACTGCTCGATATCACCCACCGTTACTGGCACAGACGGCGAATCTTCGGGAAAAGCTACTGAACACACAAAATACATAAACTTTCCATAAAAAGTGATTTCTCCTTAAACTAATTTATTAGCTTACAGAATTCCTTTAAATATACCCCGGTACTAAACATTTATATAAATACATGCCCCCATGCTGTGTCTCCCTGCCACATCACTACCTGAACTTCTGGTTGGGAAGCAACACATGAGCTGAAGCCCTGAAGTTGGGACTACATGTCTCACAAGCACCTGCGCATGCACTGTACTGCAATCTCAAGTTTTGATTGTTTTTTTTTTCTGTCAATAAACTTGCCCATCTTTTTCAAGTTCTGTGCTAAAACCGAATGACGATATTAGCCGTCAATCAAAATCAGGTAGAAGGAGGAGACGTTCTCTAACGCCACATGCTCTGTGCTCTCTGTGCGTGTCTGTGCGCAGAGATGCTTCATGTTCATCTGTAGTCCTTGGGAGTTGCGTGCACGTTGCAGTGGCTACAAAGGAGCTCAGTAGAGATCCCACAAATGAATGTAGGCACCATGCCAGGAGATGTACACCTATCAACACGCATACCCATGGGTGAGAATCTGCGCCTAAGCCTGGGAATAACTCACATACCTTCTTCTTCTGAGGGGACAGAGATCTGTTCCTGAGGCTGCATGGACTTTTGTTCCTGCATTAACGACATTCCGTCCATCAGCTCATCCACTAGTTCCATGATCTCATCATTAGCGCACAGCTACAAGGGACAAATGGAGTTTATGAACCTGAAACTCATCTGCTGACTCTGAAGGACAAAAAAAAAGTAGAGGCTCCATTCCATTCTCTACACTCTACTGACAATATATTGGTATTCTCAATTCTAGTATGACAAAAAAAAAAGTGCAATGTTGTGATAAAAGTAAAAACGGTCACTCCTCACACCCGGCTGATATAATGCAGCTTTCAGTCATTAAAGAAGAACTATGAGGTGAGCAATTTCCACTCCTCCTTATAGTTGGAGCTGACGTGTGACAATTAAACTGTCACAGGTCGGCTCTATAGATCGGGAAGTAAGCAAACACATACCGGCGCTCGCTCACTTCCCGATCATCTCCCTGCAGTGATTCCCCCCCATCCTCTCCGATCCTCCTGTGCTAACTGAAGGAACGGACAGGGGAGGGGGCAGGCACAGCTGGCTCTGCCTCTAGATAGGCAGAGCCCACTGTCAATCAGCCAGCTGGGTGGATCAACAGTATTGTCGGGATCCGTCCCAGCTGTGGCGCACTCGGTATATAGCGGGCAATAGCTCGCTATATACTGAGCTTTGGGTCACGGAGGAAGTTAGTATATGTCCTACCGTGACGCTAAAGAGAACTATAAGATAAAAAGGTTACCCCATAGTTCTCTTTTAAAAGTGTATGGTCTGGAAGCATAGAGAATAGATGACAATGCTCAGAGGAATAGGATGGCTACAATGTCTTGCATATTATACAAAAGGCATTTCTAAGAACCCAGTTAGATGCTCACACTCGTTGCTCATCCATGCAGTACAACTGTAAGCCAAGGGCATGCATATCTATTACCATTATTTTTATTACAGGTATTTATATAGTGCTGACAATTTACGCAGTGCTTTACAGATTGCACATTTACACCAGTCCCTGCCCTCTCTGAGATGTATGTATGTGAGATAGGGACCAGTCCCAGGTCCCTATCTCACATACATACGGGGCCAATTTAGACGGGAGCCTATTAACCTTCCAGCATATACAGAAATACCAAGGAAAATCTGAACTGGCAGCACAGCTGAAGATCCCAGAACAAGTCTAAGTGACAGCAGGACCAGGACCAAAGGTGAATGCTGTACTGTTGTAGTTGTACTTTGGAAATGTGCTGCAAGGCCACTTATTTCTTTATTAAAAAAAACTAAAAAAAAAACCACTACCGACAGACATGTAAAAATTAAGACCGCTGGCTGCGCTTAGTTGATCTCACCCGCTGAAGCTGGGCATCCACCCTCCACAAGCGCAGTGTCTGGTCCCGAGACCAGGTCACCAGCTGATAGTCTTTCTGTCCTGAAAGAAAGAAGAGGAGGGAAAACTGACTTTACTGCACATGGTAAAGCTGCAGAAATAACATACATGCTAGGTTATGCCAAAGTACGCAAATGTATTTATCACAGTATTGCTGGTGTTTCCTTGATAAGAAGGAAAGCGTATCATAGAAAATTTTAGTTAAAGTCCATCTAAACGTTCTATTTCCTCTTGGGAGTGATAGACAGGCATGTACAAAGCAAGTTGGCATGTTAAATCTCCTAAAAAGATCTGAACGTTACCTAGCTGGGAAGCCAAATTTCTCCTGTGCCCAGACAGACAGTGCTGGAGGGGGTGGGAAAAACTGGGCAGGGCTTTTACATCATTTCCCTAAACCCCCAGCAGCTAGAGCAATGTGCTGTCAATCCAAACATCTGTGGGCGGAGCTAGGTAGGGCTAGTCACTGGTAGGGCTACGGTGCCGAAATATAGCCAGCCAGAGCAGCAGCAAGTGTGACAACATTGCAGTTATTTCATCAGAAGGAAGAGTGTTGTCACCCTATCAAAGGAAGTGCCTGTCTAATGGTTCTACTGGCAAGATCAACAGGTATTTTTAAATATTGCAGGAGGTACTTCGAAAACCAGGAAGGCTCATTCTTACTGGTATGCGCAAGCTACATTAAAAATGTGATATTATGGCCTGACCATAGTTCTAATTTAGGAGAGGGGATAAAGAGGTTACAAAAGGAGGTGTAGCCTAAAGTTCAGGTTAATGGGTCAGTGGGTGTAGGGGACAGCAATGAACTGTGAAGACCAACCTTCTTTCTGCTTTCTCCAGTGGAACTCAAGGACCACATCGTCATGCCCCACAAAGATGTGGACTGGAGAGTGGAGGTCATAGACGTTCCAGAGTAGAAGACTGTTCTCTCTCCGCAGCTGGGGGACCATAACTGTCACAAGACCATTGCTGAAGGGCTAAGACCAAAGTTATATTCAGCAGGAGACAAAATTGCATATGTCAGCACTATGCTAAAATTAATGATACCCAAAACGGAAATGGTCCTCATTGACTTTCCTGCTCTAAATACTTGTTCCTGATCTGTGACTGAAAGTATTTCAGTAGAACTTCAGGTATAAAAATCTTTTTATCTAAATATATTTCTCAATAGCCACTATGGATATAAATCCACTTTGTGTGAGCCAAATGCCTTTGCAAACAGTTAATACAATATAAAATAACAGTGACATCATCACTGTTCTGTATATAGCCTGTGCAGAGAGCAGAACTGTGGAGGGGCCCGGCAGGCTCCACCCACTACAGGCTGCCTACAGAAAACTACAGGAGAGGGCGGAGACAAGACCAGTCAACCTTCAAAAGGAGAAAGTGCAGCAGTGAGCGGTCTTTATTACAGGAAGCTTCAAGTCTCACACTGGATTAATGCACTGGAAAAAATACACAAAGCTCACCAAGATGTAACTAAGAATTCACATGCCTTTTGTATTTAGAGAATATTCGCTTAACCTGGAGATCAACTTTAAAGCCAGGAGGCCACAAAAACAGAAAAACAAAGTTAATTAACTTGTATAAGAATCAGGGCTGGTAATGAATTTTTGTGTTTGATTAATCGAAAAAAAATTTAATCGATTAATTATAACGCACATACAGATCCAACTACATTGGCCTATACACATACAGCACAGCAATGAAGTAATAAAATGAACTAGGATCACACTAATCCAGCACGTTATTAATCTCACGTGCCCCACTCAATATGGCCGCCGCTTTAGTGGGGCAACTCAGAATAACAACGTGCTGGATTAGTGTGATTCTAGTTCATTTTATTACTTCACTGCTGTGCTGTATGTGTATAGGCCAATGCCTTGGCTGGTGCTCGTGCAGAAAGTTTCTTGGGCAAACTCACTGGCCCAAATGGCTCCGTCGGCTAACGAAGGGGGGAGGAGTCAGGTGACGTCACAGACATCAACGTCACCGGATTCCTCCCCCCCTTCCTTCGTTAGCTGTCACGGACATCGACATCACTGGACTCCTCCCCCCTTCCCTTCGTTAGCCGACGGAGCCACTTGGGGAAGGAGTCCGGTGACGTCGATGTCCGTGACGTCACCGGATCGCCGACGGGACTCGCGGAAGCCGGCGTAGAGGTGAGTGTTTTCATTAGCGATCAAAAAAATTTGAATCGATCAAAAAGTTTAACCATTAATTGAGAAATTAATCTTTAATTTCCACAGCCCTAAAAGGAATGTATTTTAGCTTCCCTGTGGTGATCTCTGTACAGCAGAATAGAATTCTTTTAACTTAGAGCTTGCAGTAATTTCCAACCAGGCATAAAGCAACCAATCAGCTTATAGCTTCATTGTACCCCTCTGTGAGGTGGTAAGCAGGGAATAGTGCAGCAGCAGTGCTATGACAAAGGCAGTTGGGGAGTATTACTATATTGCTTCTGCAAACCCCCAAAAATATATTTTATCAGGTTGAAGTTTTATTGAAATCAAAGAAAAACTATAAATTTTGAGAGCAAGTAGCTGAGGCCTATTAGAGTGAAATACCATCCACCTCGTGAAACATGGGTGCTAATCTTACCGTGTAGCGAGCCTTCCACACAGGCACTTGACAGGCCAGGACGCTGAAACATTTCCGTGGCTGCCGCCAATCCCAGAACTGCAAGAAAAATAAAAACACAACGTCTGCACCAAAGTGTCTGAGAAAAGAAATGACAGTGAGTGGGATGTATTAAAACTGGAGCAGACAGAATCCGAAGCAGATGAGCTTCCATCTTTCATTTTCAAAGCTTCACTGAATAAACTGGAGAGACAAAACTGATTGGTTACTATAAGTAGGGCCGGATTTCCCACAAGGCCAACCGAGGCCCAGCCTTGGGGCAGCAGGGAGTATATTATGGGCAGGGCCGGATTTCCCACAAGGCCAACCGAGGCCCGGCCTTGGGGCAGCAGGGAGTAGAGAGGCAGCAGGGGTGTGGAAGTCCTATCTCTTGATGCCAGGTACATGCAGTCCCGGCCGCCGGGCGGGTAGTTGTTTTCTACATTTAGCCCTGCTTTTGGCAAGCGGGGCTAAATGTACAGTGGGGAAGCCACCGCTTGATTTGTACAAGTGATCTCGGCGATGTCACTGAGATCACTTGTATGCAGCCTGCATACAGGGGGCCGCATTGAGGAACCTGGCATTGGGGCAGCAGAGAGAGTAAATCCGGTCCTGACTATGGGCAGCTGCCCTAGATTGTGTTTTCTACAGTTTTGATAAATTCTCCTTGTGTGTCCTATAAGCACCTAATCATAACCAAACTTGCATTGGAAAGGGAATGCAAGAAAATGATATAGATGGATTGGGAAGAGGTATCACAAGGAGCAGATGAGAACTGAACCCGTCTTCTTCTCAGACGGTCTACTTCCCTCTGCTCTCCTCCCTCTACAGTCCATTCATCATTGTGTTCTCAGCTTTACTCACAGTATGCACCTGCCTCTAGTGACACCTCTACCAACCCACGTGTATCCTTTTCCTGCATCCCTTTCGGAGAGTTCATAGGTCAAGAGTGCTGTTTATTGAGCAGTGAATAAAAAATATGACACCCTCCCGGGCAGATTACCTTGACGGAGTTGTCTTGGCTGGAGGTGGCCAGGATGTGCTCATTATCAGGATGCCAGTCCAGTCCATGGATTTTATATAAGTGGGCCGCAATGTACTCTACAGCAGTGCTTGGTCTCTGCAACAAGAAAACGACAGAGGTTTAAGAAAGATGAATTCTTACCAAGAAGACGTTTTGAAAGGCTCGCCAAACAAAATTTATAGGGGTGGAGAGGGAGAGAATGAAAGGTAAAAGTGCGACTGGGGAGGGCAAAATAAATGGACTTCTTCCTTTGCCTTGCACAGGTTTGCTGTAAGCAAATTATTCTCAATCTGTATCATAAAAGAATGTGATTGCCCTTAGCACTTCAACAGTAAAACCTAACAACATGCCGATATCAACTTCTGAAACCAACGGCAACACTTACCCTGCGATCCCAGATCCTCACATCGCCATCGTGACTTGTGGCGAGGCAGTTCCCATTCTTTTTGTTCCACTTCACTTGGGAGGCTCCAGCTGTATAAGACAAACAAACCTTTGCTCTTTTCACCCCACCATTAAACGTTCAGCATTCAGATATCAAAACGTGAAGCTTTTTAAAGTGAAGATTTAAAGGAGAACTATGGGGTTAAGGCTTTTCCCCATAGTTCTCCTTAGGGTAACGGTAGGACACAAACTAGCGTCCTCCCGTCACCCTAGGCTCACGGTATACTGAGACGCCACAGCTGAAGCGGATCTCGACAATTATGCCGGGATCTGCCCAGCTGCGTGAGTGACAGCTAGCTCTGCCTATCTAGAGGCAGAGCCAGCTGTACCCGCCCCCTCCCCCGTCCGTTCTGCCAGTCAGCGCTGGCGGCTCGGAGCGAGGAGGGGGGGAATCCAGGCCCTCCCCGGTCACGGCAGAGAGCCGTGACAGGATCGAGAGGTGAGCGAACGCTGGTATGTGTTCGCTCACCTCCCGATCTACTGAGCCGACCTGTGACAGTCTCATTGTCACAGGTCGGCTAGAACTATGAGGTGAGTGAAAAGCACTCACCTCATAGTTCTCCTTTAAAAGAGCCAAAACACAACTTATTCTATTGTCAATCCATACATTGCTTAGATTTTCAAAAGAACTTTCTTTCGACTTTCTATTAGTTGATGGGGTCAAATCAACAATTCATTTAGTCGATAGCGACGCGAAAACTCGAAGCAGGATGGAAAATTTTTCTTGAACGAACAAGATTCTAACAGTGAACGTTGTTTTCGTTGCCATTATCGGGTGGTAATGAAAGACCTTTCTTTGGTATGAGCTATACAGTCAGAGACAGCATTGCATTAGAGCTCACAACGCAGATATACAACTAGGAGGCTGTAGGTACCCAGGCGCACTCACATATCAGGAAGTGCGCTAATATTCTTTTAGAGGAATTCAAGACAAATGGTAACATTTCTAAGCAGGTTATTCAAAAAGCTGGAAAAAAAAAAACAGAAAACAAACATGGTGCACGCCAACCCCACGGAGCTAGCGGTGACATCACTGTTTCCCATTGGCCAGCAACTGCCAGAGTCTTCTAGCAGGTCCCGGGCAATAAATAAGAACTGTCATTTGCGTGGAGATCGGTCGGCTTCAGCCAACCTGTCTCCACACTTCGTCTGTCACTACAGCTCAGTTGAGCCGCTCGGCTGCTGTTTGAGCGATAGTGAATAGCCCGTACAGCAGCCCTTCGGTTCGACTGAACCGAAAGGCTCAGGCAGCCGAAGTGACCTGAAGGATCAGCCGAAGCTACTGCTGGATCCTTTGGCTTATTAGTGAATAACCCTCTAAAAGTTCCTTATAACATAGGAAATCTTAATTCAGGTTCACTTTAAATCCAGTTTAAAAAAAAAAAAAAGGCTTTCAAAACAGGGAGTCTGAAGTGCATTTTAGGAAGAACGGCTTCTTGTCTTCTGGTATCTCTCAGGTCCGGCAGAAGTGTAAACAGATCAGAAAAGGTGAAGACATAACCCATGGGAGATCACAGCCATAATGCCCCAACGTGCTACAAAACCAATGCACTGTAACACTCACCCACTGCAGACAAGGACACTGTTGGTTTCCTCGTATCCCTGAGAAGAGAACAGAATGCAATCAATAGGAATGGATGAGAGTTTGGCTCATTAATTACTGAATACATGAAAAGGCATGGCAGACAGAGTTTGAAAATATAAACCACAACTTATGTTTCTCCAAGTAACTGAGGTAACAAAAACTAAGGTCATTTTACAATGCAACCTTCGTACGTGTTGTATTACTCATATGTAGCAGATCGCCTTTAAAGCTGAAGTTTAAACTGCTATATTTTGCCTCCCCTGGTGTGTCTTTCCCCCATGCTAATAAATTAAATAAAACCCTTCCCTTTTCATAACATACTTTATTTATATCATCACCGGGTCTCTGTGCCTCCATGCAATGCAGGCAGCTCATGGAAGGTGGGAGTGAGCGGCAGGGTGCTGTACATAGCTTCCTGAAAGCATCACAGCACTTTACCCCACTTTGCCTCCTCTCAAGAGCTCTCAGTTGTGATGCAAGCAGTGAGCTTGCTGTTGGAAAGAGATATGCAACAATCAAAATGAACTGATGGTGAATGCCAGCATGGAGGAGCGGACATTCCCAGGCAGAACGCATTTGCAAGGAATCGCCCAATGTAATGCCCACGTGATGCTGAGCCTCAATGACTGAAAGGACTAAAATCCAATGAATGAAAGGGATGGGGCCAGGGACAGTCAGATCGGAGAGGAAAGTGCTAGATGCTGTTGGATGTCCTCTAGCCAGGAAATGAGGAAGGTTCTCTCTGACCTGCTGCAGCTTCTAATGCACATGGCGATAATCTCGCAGTCTGCAGGGAAATCAGAGGAAGCCATTTCAGTCCAGGAGAGGAGCCGGTACAACTGTGCAAGACTGAAGGGAAGGCCGGAGTTCAGCTTTAGTGTCTGTGGTGTGAACTTACTTGATGTCCCAGATGTAAATGTAAGTATCGATGGAACTGGTGACCAGAACTTCCGGCTCAAATACTGACCAGTCCAAGTCGCTGCAGGAAGAAGACAAAAACTGCATTTAAAGGGACAATTAAAACACAAATGCTGTAAAGGAGAAGAAGAGAAAGACACTGTGGTTGTTTCTTCTAATGATCAGCGTATTTTGGTTGAGCTACATTTAAAGCGAGCCTGTGCAGCTTAAACATTATACTTATTGTTCAGTCATCAGCAGGCTCTCCATTGGTCACAGAGGTCTCCACGATTACATACTACATGAAAACGGTAGATGCCATCTTTACATCAAAAAGATTCCACAAACCTGATAACACGAGTGTGCCCCTGCAGGGATGTGGCAATGTCCCCGGTCCCATCCTTCCACTGGTACAGATCCACCCGCTGGTTACTCTAGAGAAGAGAATGAACATACAGTGAACGATGATGAGCATGAACGATGATGAGCAGATACCTAATGGCGATGAAGTCAACATCCAGCAATAGCTAAAGGCATAATGTGAAATTGTCACACGTCGGCTCAATAGATGGGGAAGTGAGCAAACACATACCGTCTCTCGCAGTCACGGTGCCCTGCAGGTATTCCCCCGTCCCCACTCCGATCCTCCAGCGCTGACTGGAGGAACGGATGGGGGAGGGGGCGGGTACAGCTGGCTCTGCCTCTAGATAGGCAGAACCAGCTGTCACTCATGCAGCTGGGTGGATCTTGACAGTAATGTTGGGATCCGTCCTGGCTGCGGCGGTCTCAGTATAACGCGAGCTGTGGCCCGCTATATATTATTATTTACTGAGCTTTGGGTCACGGGAGGTTAGTATATGTCCTCCTGTGACCCTTAAAGGAGAACTATGAGATGAGTGATTTCCACTCACCTCATAGTTCTAGCCGACCTGTGACAATGAGACTGTCACAGGTCGGCTCAGTAGATCAGGAGGTGAGCGAACACATACCAGGTTCGCTCACCTCTCGATCCTGTCACGGCTCTCTGCCGTGACAGGGGGAGGGCTGGATTCCCCTCTCCCCGCTCCGACCTGCCAGCTCTGACTGGCGGAACGGACGGGGAGGGGGCGGGTACAGCTGGCTCTGCCTCTAGATAGGCAGAGCCAGCTGTCACTCACGCAGCTGGGCGGATCCCGTCATCTACGTCGGGATCCGCTCCGGCTGAGGGGTCTCAGTATACTTAGGGTAGCGGGAGGACGCTAGTTTGTGTCCTCCCGTTACCCTAAAGAGAACTTTGGGGAAAAACACCTACCCCATAGTTCTCTTTTAAGGAGGAGTCCTGCATGATTCCAGTGTTGCACTTTACTGTGATTATTATCATGCTAGAATAAACTGGACTTTTATTTGAAGAATAATCATGTTCTGGCCACATATTCTACCCTCAGAAGCAGGCACAACTCACAGAAGCAGCAAAGAAGTGACCGTAGCTGTCATGGGGGTTCCACTGCACCGTGCCGATGTCCCACTTGCTCTGTCGGGAGATTTTGCGGTGGCCTTCTGTGGGCGTGTCCAAATTCACAATGTAAAGAAATCGGCGACTGTAATGGAAGAGACAAGTATACAGATTAGGGGCAACATCTTCTAAGCAAAATAATCAAATGCGGTCATGTATTTACTCAACTAAAACACCACAGGACAGATTCAGACAATAGGATCTATTGTATGAGAGGAAGGGGAAGGTCACATCACAGACTGCCATCTCATCAAGCCAAATGGGTACATGCCAGATGAAATCCTCCACTAACAAATTAAAGGGAATGTATAAAACTTAGTAGGGCTGCAACAAGAAAAATAATCGGTAGCTGCAGCCCTAAAACTCAGGGCGCGCGATGACAATGCCTGACCGCTGGGCAGGTGGGCGAAGTTCTGGGAGCTGGGAAGGTGTTTTTTTCCCCACATTTAGCCCTGCATTGGCTAAATGCAAGCAGGGTTAAATGTAGAGCAGGGGAGCTGACGGTCGTTTTATACAAGTGATCCAGGACCACGGCAAGTAACTTCAGGATGGAGAGCAGAGAGCAGAACGGAGAACGTCTATTCTACGATCTGCTCTGTGTGATCAGCAAGGAAGGAGCGACGTACTCACAGCGCTTCTTGTCTCAGCTGTCACAAGCCGGGCTGCACAGGAGATCGAGTACAATGCTATGCTCCATCTTCTGTATTGTAGGGCGGGCTCCATAAAGAGAACCTGTCACCTCCGAACGCTATCACATAGGGGCTTGTTAACCCCTGTGTGTGAGCAATAAAGTTAAGTGGGGAAAAAAAAAGTAAAAAATTAATAATAAAACCAACCCGCCCCCCGCCATATGCATGAACAGTCAAGCAGGGGAGGAAAGCGCTAGATGATCCTGGACATCCTCCAGCCAGGAAGTAAGAGGGACTATCTGACTTGCTGCAGCTTCTAATGCACATTGTAAGAAGCTCGCAGTGTGCAGTGATATCAGAGGAAGCCATTGCAGTCCTGGAGATGAGCCGGTACAAGGGGAGGCCGGAGTTCAGCCTTAACACACCACCACACAGGTCTGTAAGAGAGAAGCAGACCCCGTCTATCCATCGCCGTATTGGGGACTCGTCAGCTTGTTAACTGCTCAGCGCTGGGTTGTGATCCAAGAGAAGGTGCCGACACAGCATTGGGCAACTCATCCTACTCTGCATTAAACTTATTACAGACGCTCAGATTTTCTCTGGCTGTCACGGCCATGTAAAGAAATGCTGATGAAAAGGTTCCGAAACACCAAGGCTCTGGATTTGCTCTGGAAGCCTTGCTGACCCCCAAAAAAACTGTATTTATTGGTTACTGTCCAAGGCTTGAAATACACAAACAATACAAAAAATTCAAAATATTAACAATCAGTTACAAAGCCATCCACACCTCTGCCCCCGGCTATATCTCAAACCTGGTCTCAAAGTATCACCCTAACCGTCGGCTCCGATCTTCCCAAGACCTCCTGCTTTCCAGCTCCTTGTCAACTCCTCCCATACTCGTCTCCAGGACTTCTCTAGAGTCTCTCCCATCCTCTGGAATTCTTTACCCCAACCTGTCCGTCTGTCGCCCACCTTGACTGCCTTTAGGCATTCCCTAAAGACTCATCTCTTCAGGGAAGCCTATCCCACCGCAACCTAACCACTGAACCATCACGCTCTCAAACAATCATCCCCACACAGCTCCCTCCTCATGTATCACTTCCCCCTCCCTTTTAGATTGTAAGCCCTCAGGGCAGGGCCCTCCTTACCATCTCGTCTTGAATTGTATTGTGATTGTAATGTCTTCCTTATATTGTAAAGTGCTGCACAAACTGTTGGCGCTATATAAATCCCGTATAATAATAATAATAATAATAATACAACGGATTCAGGACATGCTTGGAATAACTAGGCAGTATAATGGTTAAAGCTGAAGTTTAATCTGCTCAGATTTTGGCCTTCTCTGGTTCCTCCTTCTCCTCGAGGGTGAATTTCAGTCTGGAGGAGTGAACGTTCCCAGGCAGATTATATTTATAAAAATACAAAATGCCTTGATGGGTGGGTGTCAGTCTGGAGAAGTGAGGGTTCCTAGAAAGACTTTCTTCCATTGCAAACCAACCTAAGTAACACCCACATCCAATGCTGAGCCTTCATGATTGGATGAACTAAAATCCAATAACTGAGGCGGGCCAGGGACAGTCAGGCTGGGGAGGAAAGCGCTAGATGATGCTGGACATCCACCAGCCAGGAAATGGGGCGGGCTCTATCTGACTTGCTGCAGCTTCTAATGCACGTTGTGAGGAGCTCGCAGTGTGCAGTGAAATCAGAGTTCAGTCCAGGAGAGGAGCCGCTGTGCAAGATTGAAGGGGAAGCCGGAGTTCAGATTCAAATTAATTACATCCATTTAATTTCCTTTTTCTCAGACGCTGTAATCTTGGGTCGCGGCAGTTTGGGACTCGGCCTAGTAACAAGGAACAGAGCGCAGCCTTAAAAAGGAGAAGTATGGGGTCAGGGCTTTTCCCCATAGTTCTCCTATGGGTAACGGGAGGACACCAACTAGCGTCCTCCCGTCACCCTAAGCTCAGTATACCGCGAGCTACAACTCACGGTATACCGAGACACCGCAGGCGGGACGGATCCCGACAAATCTGTCTGGACCCACGCAGCTGCATGAGTGACAGCTGGCTCTGCCTATCTGGAGGCAGAGCCAGCTGTACCCGCCCCCTCCCCCGTCCAGTCAGCGCTGGAGGATCGGACAGGGGAGGGGGGAATCCAGCCTCTCCCCTGTCACGGCTCTCTGCAGGGATAGATGGAGAAGTGAGCGAGCGCCGGTATGTGTTCGTTCGTTCACTTCCCGATCTACGGAGCCGACCTGTGACAGTTTAATAGTCACAGGTCGGCTCAAATTATGAGGCTGAGTGAAAATCACTCGCCTCATAGTTCTCCTTTAACAGCACAGAAAATCTTTAAAGACAGAATGCCTTGACTTGAGCAATCGGTGACAGCTCACATTAATTAGGGAATGCAAATAGACCCAGAATAGGATCCCGGGCTGCCAACTACACATGCCTGCCAAGCTGCTTCCGAAAAGCACAGTCTAGAGCAGAGCTTCTCAATCTTTCTTCAGTCGTGGAACCCTTTAAAAGTATGCAAAATCTTGTGGCACCCCGGTCCAAATGTAAAAAGGTAGACGTAAACAAATGACATGTAGTCCCTGCAAAATCCATAATTCCAGGTACGGGGTCTTGTATGGAATTTAAAGTGGAACCCCCTCCAAAAACACATAAAAAACAGGGATCCCCACATTAGCGCTCCACCCTTTCCATTAGGACCCCCCCCCCCGTTATATCAGAGTCCCTTCCTTTCACATCAGAGTCCCCCCTTTACATCACAAGCTCCCTTTCTCATCAAGAGCCCTCTTTCACAACAGGAGCCCCACTGTACATGAAAATTCCACCTTTAACATCAGAGCCCCTCTTTGCATTAGGAGCCCTCTTCACATCAGAGTCCTCCTTTACATTACAAGCCCCCATCACATCAGAGTCCTCCTTTACATTACAAGCCCCCTTCACATCAGAGTCCTCCTTTACATTACAAGACCCCTTCACATCAGAGTCCTCCTTTTGCGTTTTGCATGCGTTTTTGATGCGTTCCAGAGCAGGTAAAATAGGGCTTGCCGCAGTTTTTTCACCTGCTCTGGATCTGCACACTGCGATGTGAACTGGAGCTCAAAATACCATAGGAATACATTGGACGCAGTTTTGATACGGTCTGCACCTGCTCTGCTCTGGATCTGCTCCGCGCTTGGTGTGAACAAGGCCTAATTCTACTTCAATCCAGCTTCCTGAGAAAATAGGAAACAAGAGAAATAGGGAACAGCCGGCAAAGCATTTTATTGGGTACAAAGAGAGATGCCACTGACCTGGACAGCACGGCAAGTTGCCCCTGGCAGTTCACAGACATTGCTGTTGCCTAAAATGAAAGAGATTGAAAATAACAACAAGTATTAGGTTAGTGTGACTGTAGGATAAATGAGCATTAAATGTCACCCTAACTTGGAGAACGGATCCAAGGAACAGCTGAATACAATCCAGTTCATCGGCTCAAAAATAGAAGGGGACACCGCCTCATTCTAGGGTGCCTCATTCTAGGGTGCCTCATTCTAGGGTGCCCCATTCTAGGGTGCCCCATTCTAGGGTGCCTCATTCTAGGGTGCCCCATTCTAGGGTGCCTCATTCTAGGGTGCCCCATTCTAGGGTGCCTCATTCTAGGGTGCCCCATTCTAGGGTGCCCCATTCTAGGGTGCCTATTTCTAGGGTGCCTATTTCTAGGGTGCCTCATTCTAGGGTGCCTATTTCTAGGGTGCCTATTTCTAGGGTGCCTATTTCTAGGGTGCCTCATTCTAGGGTGCCTATTTCTAGGGTGCCTCATTCTTGTTCTAGGGAATGCAGTCTCATTCTACCGTGTTTCTTATTCTAGGGCAGTGGTTCTCAACCTGTGGGTCGCAACCCACAGTTGAGGGGGGTCCCCATGTGCCTTGTGCTGCTCTAGGTAAGAGGCTCCTCAGCCTCCTCCTAGCATGGCAGTGTCAGTTCTCCTAGATGGCACTGCAGCATCAGCAACCGGAGAGGATCAGAGAGAGGGGAGCAGGCAGGAGTCAGGGGAGGTAAGTGCTTGGGCACCACAGAGCCCACACTGGGCACCACAGAGCCCGCACTGGGCACCACAGAGAGTCCCACTAGCCACCTGAGAGCCCACATAGGCTCCCGAGAGCCCACACAGATACTAGTATTGGTGCATCCCTAAATTTTACGGTTGGGGGGGTCACCACAACTTGGCAAATGTTACCAAGGGGTCCCAGCCCTAGAAAGGTTGAGAACCACTGTTCTAGGGCCTCTCTAGTCGCTCTCTGCTCGTGGGGGATGCTGCCTCATTCTAAAGTTTCTTTCTGGATCTAGGGGACCTTCTTGGTTCTTATGGACACTGATGCATTCCAGGGTACCTCTCTGCTTCTGGGGGGGGGCATGTTTCATTCTAAGTAGTCTCCCTAGATCTGGAGTACGCTTTTGGTTTTTAGGGATGAATTATAGGGTACCGCTCCGCTTCTGGGGGAAACTCATTTTAGGAGTCCTCTACCCGATTTTGGGTACCCCCTCTCTTTTTAAAGTTTCTTCCTGGATCCTGGAGGACACTTCTGGCTCTAGGGGACACCATCTCATTCTGTGGCACCTCTCTGTTTCTATGGAACCCTGTTGCATTCTATGGTGTGTCTCTTTTTCGTGGAAACACTGTCTCATTGTATCATGTCTTTCTGTTTTGGGGAACATTGTCTCATTCTAAGGTTTCACTTGTGATTCTGGGATACCTTTTTGATTCTGAAGTATGCTTATTAAGGGTAACCTCTCTGTTTGTGGGAGACATTGGCAGATTGTGGGGTGCTTCTCTAATGCTCTGGTTTAGATCTAAGGATCCCCGTCTCATTCTGGATCCTCATTCCTGGCTTTGTGAGCCCTCTTTGGTTCTGAGGGACAAAGTCTAATTCTGGGCCCCCTGCTCTTCTGAATGTTCTGTTGTAGATCTAAGGATCCCTGTCTGATTCTGGGCTCCCGCCCCTCTCAATGCTATGGTGTAGATTTAAGGATCACTTTCTGAATTTGGGCCCCTGCTCCTGGCTCTGTGAGCCCTCTTTGGGACAAGGTCTAGTGCTGGGCCCCTGTCTGATCTAAATGACCCTTTGTAGAGATCTAAATCTGTCCGATTCTATCACCCCCGCTCCTGGAATTGGGGCCTCTCCCAGTCCAAGGGACCTTCCCCTGGTTTCACAGCCTCTGTTTTAAAGGAGCACTATGAGGTGAGTGCTTTTCACTCACCTCATAGTTCTAGCCGACCTGTGACAATGAGACTGTCACAGGTCGGCTCAGTAGATCGGGAGGTGAGAGAACACATACCGGCGTTCGCTCACCTCTCGATCCTGTCATGGCTCTCTGCCGTGACAGGGGAGTGGCTGGATTCCCCCCTCCCCGATCCGCCAGCGCTGACTGGCAGAACAGACGGGGTGGGTACAGCTTGCTCTGCCTCTAAATAGTCAGATCCAGCTGTCAGTCACGCAGCTCACGCTTCAGCTGCGGGGTCTCAGTATACCGTAAGCTACAGCTCGCGTTATACTGAGCCTAGGGTGACGGGAGGACGCTAGTTTATGTCCTCCCGTTACCCTAAGGAGAACTATGGGGGAAAAGCCTTAACCCCATAGTTCTCCTTTAATACATACCAGCCCTTCGATCCTGTGACCCCTGTCTGGTATTACAACACTTCTCTTGAGACTTTAAAGTGCACCTGCACTCTCCTACCCCTTAGAGCCAAGGAAGGTGCCAGCCTCTATTTGGGTTGCAGTTGCCATGGTGCTGCACATGTGATCAGCTATGACACCAGTCATTCAAGGTCTTGAAAGTTTGGTTGAGAGCTAAAATAAGGGCAATGGCAACCTGGACAGTTGTCATGCTTCAAAAGTAACTGACTGTTTTAGGAGACATTTAATTGGTGGGTAAAGTTCCTCTATTATTCCTGGCTCCCTCTCTGGCCCTTATCCTTCCCTGGTCCTGAGACATTCAACAAGTGCCTATCTGGCATTAGAACTCTCCTTTAG